TTGTTTATGTCGCTACGGCTGTCTGTTTTCTCGTCTGTCGAATGAGTAGATAGTATAGCCTTAGTGACGTCTGGTTGATAGGAGGGTTGGATGATGCCCATCCTGCAAAAGCCATGCGAATTTTTTCGCACACCGGAGACGATTTAAAACTTCCTGCATTCAAATGCAGGTATTCATGCAGATATCTTTACAGATACTTGGCATTTAACATATCGTATTTTTTCTATCGTTGGAGATTTTTGCATTCCGTCTGTATGCTGGCGGCGACCTAGTTGGTCTACCACGGAGTTTGCTGTGATGCAGTGAATTTAGGGTTAGAAATGTATTTAAACCATCAAATGCACCCCCGTCCTTCATCCTCCTCCTCCACCACCACCACCGCCGCCGCCACCACCACCACCACCACCAACGTCTTATTTACGCAGGAGGAAATTAATGAGGTTATCTGCACACTACGATAGCACTGTTTTGAAGGAAGTAATATCTGACGTGAATTTTTCAAAACATTCACCGGCAATTCTTCGTGATGGCGACAGTTGCATTTTTCAGTCGTTAGATATCGCTTGTGATCTTCTGGTGCTATCTGTTCTGCGTGCCCATTTTATCCACAGTGAATGGAAGTCTTTTTGTTGAAAATTTTATAACGATAATTTCGAAATAAGACGTATCTTTTATTCACAACCATGTTCACCTTTCAGGATGCCGAAGTTCTGGGTCGGGGAAATGCCCGAAGCCTGATAAATGCAGTCAACCGTTTCCTGAATCCCACTAAGCCGCTAGAGCGCAACTCAACAAACCGCGAACCCTGGCCTAACTTGAATCTAAAAACGTGCGAGTCTACGATGCACACGCACGTAGCCGCACCACCATTAGCATCCGTTGTAGACACAGACATCACTACGGCCGTATCATCCACTCAGCCGGCAGACGAGAAGACAGACATTCGTAGGGACGTAAACAAGACGACAGTTAAGGTCAATGTGGGTGTACGGACGGCAGTTATCAACGCCTTAACGCCGACCTCGAAGAAGGGCCCCTAGATTGAGGACATTCCATTACCCTCACGCACCCCCATCACCCCTCCTCCTACGTCCGCCACGGCCCTTGTGTATGTACATGCGGACGATGACAACCGAAGTCAAAACATCGCTCCCCCCCCATCCGCCGGCATGATGACTGTTTTTTTAGCCTTCCCCACCCCTTCGAACTCCCTGCCACGCTGATTGCAAAAGTGAACCCATCCCAACACGACTGTCACCAATTAGAAATGCTGTGAGACGCGGTACCACTATCATTTCTCTGAAGGTGGAAGCATGTCAGTCTTTGAAACGTCATGAAAATACAATCATCGTCCCCCTGAGATCGTCTTTTGTTCTTATATACAGTAGATGCGCTAACTCATGAAATGTCAACCAAAATTTCGAAATGCGTTCTCGTTTCGAAAAGATAAGTTAAGTAGTGTTGTAAAACTAATCATGATGCAACATAAATCTATAATGATCCAGTTACCACAGGGTGTCGGCTTTCGAAAGAACTTATTTTCGGTTGCATGCAAGATCTATACTCTGAAAAAAATGACTACTAAGTAGTATGCGATTTTCTCATTGTTTTTCGATGCCCTTGAAAATTCAATTATATTTCATGGAAAACATGCATAAAAATATCCATTATTTTGCTTATTCGGTAGAAAACAACGTCGTCTTCTTCCACTTTCATACTCAAAAGAAGAGTATAATTCGGTTTTAAAGAAACTTTTTTAATTCCCGAATAATTTTGAACCCGATCTGCTGTTACACTTGCATTCTGGGTTTCAAAACCATAAGCTGTATATTTTCCGTTTACGGAAAACCATGCATTTCTCTACGGTGTTAAAAGGACACCATACGGGGTTCATAAAATTATGCAGTGAATTTGAGCGATATTGTTAACATTACAAGCCACATTCGTAAATGCAGACACATGACGTTTTATGAACGGCCATTTAACGGTATTAAAAAATCTTACGATTAGAAACTTTTTTAAAACCGAATTATACTCTTCTTCTGAGTAAGAAATTGGAAGAAGACGTGATTTTCTACCGAATAAGTAAAAGAATGAATATTTTTATGCATGTTTTCCATGAAATATAATTGAATTTTCAAGGGCATTGAAAATAAATGAGAAAATTGCATGCTACATAAGTAGTCATTTTTTGCAGAGTATAGATCTTGCATGCAACCGAAAATAAGTTCTTTCGAATGCCGACGCCCTGAGGTAACTGGATCATTATATATTTATGCTGCATCTTGATTAGTTTTACAACACTGCTTAACTTATCTTTTCGAAACGAGAACGCATTTCGAAATTTTGGTTGACGTTTCATGAGTTAGCACATCTACTGTATGTGGATGTGGGCGAAAATGGTGGCCTCAGGAGTTCAGAAGGCAAATAGATCTCAGATGACAGAGAATGCGGGTAGACTGATACATTACTGTTTCGGGCTTATTTTTCATGTACGGACACCATAGTGAAGGGCAGAAACACACTGCAGCGAGCCAGACGACAAATGGTCGGAATTAAGCTACCTTCAGCGCCTCTTCATGGTGAAAAGGAA